CACAGTAGCCATTGGTATCTGAGCTGAGAGGAGCCAAGAAGAGGCTTATTCTGGCTCTTGTGCTTAGCGTGTTCTGTGGCTACTGTTTTGGTGATGGTTGAGAAGGCACTGCGAGCTTTATTGTACCAGACCTACAGCTTGTCCTGCTCATATTAGGGTGTTTAAGGCAGAGAAACAGAAGTGGAAAGCCAAGGAACAGTTTACCTCAGCATTGTCCAACCAGACCAGGCCAGTATCACAACACTGAGTGATGCTGAGGGATACCAATGTTATTATGAGGCACTGCACCATAGCAAGATTCACTCTGCTCCTTCTGTACCCTGCTCTGCACTACTCAGACACTGGCTTGGTGCCAAACCTGCACCAAACAGCCACGCTATGCCTCAGCATCTCTCTTCCCAGGGCAGCTGAAGCAGCACAGGCTCTGTTCCTGCATCCCCTGCATCCTACCTGACAGTTCTTCACAGCAAAGACACGCAGCAGAGCAAGACTTCCACGTGCATGTGGTCGGCACATATGGAAGGAAAGGGACACCATCAATGAAACCCCGCAGACTGAGAGGAGGATGGACCCCAACTGCCATTTTAAGCAGCAGTCTTCAATACGGAGTGAAATCCCCGAGAGGTAACTCCTGTGGGCCCTCCCACTTACCCCTATCATTTGGGACGTGGCAAGGGGACATGCAGCACACCTCTTCGTTAGTGCTTACAGACATTGCTCCATTGGGAGAGCTGGCAGCATTACTTTGGGTGTTACAGAAGATCAAAATGATCATCACTTGTCACCAGCTCAGAAGCCCTCTAACACGGTGCAGTTAACAGACCCCCATGAAGGCACCGTTCTCTTCCCAGGCTGATTTTGCCCCATACCCCTGCTCAACGAAGAGCAGCAGTGACACGCAGTTAACTCTCAGAGCAGCAGTGACACGCAGTTAACTCTCAGAGCAGCAGTGACACGCAGTTAACTCTCAGAGCAAGAGAGGCTACTGCAGAGCCAAAGTCATCCAAGCACCAGTATCACAACCACGTCACATTCTAACTGCAGCGCATCGATGCTCCCAGCTCGAGGTGATGTACATAGTTCTTCCTGTGGAAACCAGGGTGCACTCCAAGCCCAGCCAGTCTCAGCCCAAGTCTCTGTGCAGCAGCAAGGCCAAAAGGAGCTGCCGGCTCCACCTCTGGGAGGAATTGCTGGAGGAATGTCCTCTTGGACACCATAGGCACCGGATTCCCACCCGTCTCCCTGGCGCAGGAGCTGCTTCCACAGCTGCACACCCAAATGAGCTCCGGGTGCCTCCCCTGCCCAGCAGCTGTACTGGCTGTTTGAACCAGGGCCGAAGTACTTGCAGCCAGAGGGAAGCCTGCCTGAGCTCACACACACACCCCCAAAAGGGGAAGGTCTGTCTACATAGAAACTGAAGTTTGTGGCCTGCTACTGGCATTTTTCCTGCTATATATAACCTGGGGGGAAAAATAGGACTTGATAGATTTATTCTCAACCTACTTTAAACTCACAAGGATATGATACATTATGTCATCAGTTGCTACATGTGATGCTGTGTGTGTTGTGAAGAAGCGAGCTAGAAATGAGTACTGGATGCTATGAACCTGAAAGCTTGCAACTCCTCTGCCAAACAGAAGTCTGTCACAAGTTGCTAAACACATAACCACGCCAAGTTACAGAGACCCACAGGCTGATTAAGTCAGTGTTTCAGGGCAATGAGCCTGCTGTACACCAGCTATGGACCAATAGGTCTTTAATCCTTGCTCTGCTATGGGCTTCCTGCACGGATTTGGAGTAGGTCACTGCTTACCCTCCATTTACCCTCTAACTCCTCGCCCCCCAAAATGAGATCTGTAGATTGTACCTATGCTTTGGGAGTATAAACACGCTGAAGACTGTGAACTGCTTAGATACCACAGTGCTCACACGCTGCCAAGTTGTGATAAAACAATACTATCAGGCCAGTATTTCACAGTACAACTATTTGGGGAGGAACAGAATTAGAGATGAAAGCACTGATGTGTGCTGGCACAGAAATCCCGACTCTGAATCCGAGCCGTACGGCAGTCTGTGCAAGCAGCAGGCATGCACCAAATGCAGCACGGTTTCCTCAACACAGAGAAGGCACCATCAGCTCAAGTCTCTTCTGCTCTTTACTACACGTATTGAAGCTTTAAAGAGAGCTTTCTGTTATCACACGCTCCCTGACAAAGCAGCTTTTAGCTGAATGGAATTGCTGGACTGGCATCTTCACACAGACTTCCGCCTTGGTTGTGCCGGATGTTGGGATGGGGCTCCCGTGGGCAGATGTCCACCAGTGCGCCAAACATGCTGGAGTGGGATGGAGATAACGGTAGAGATTTTATCAGTACCACGGGTCTGACTAAAACAGGAGCTTTGCCAAGGCCAGGTATATTTGTAACGGTAGCCTCATTAAAACACCTGACATGAGCTGAGGCTCCTCGGAATTAGGCCAGCAGGATCTGGTCCTGGGCACATCAGGAACTGCTCCGTGATTCAAACTTAAAGATTCCAGCTTCTCGGAATTTGGGGAAAGAAAAAAAAAGAAAAAGGGAAGAAAAATCTCAGCCCAACTTTTTACATGTCTGGATATACAATTTCACACTGAAAAAACTTTCTTAGCCTAACAGGCAGGAATACCTTCACTTGATGTTTGTTGTAAACGGGCCAGTTCAACCTGCTGGCTTTTGAGGAGGCCAAAAGTCACTCGGTTTTGTCCTCAGCACACTCAGGAAGCGGGGGGATACCACAAAGCCACCTTACTTATGGTTACACAGCGCTAGCAACACACACTCCCGTTAACAGCAACAAGCCAGCACAAGCAGTTTGAGACGGCACCCACCACCAAGCCATGCACGTGTGCAGTAGTGCTGGGGTGGCTTTCACATGTTCCAATGCTCTTTATGAAAAAAGGGATTAAAAGAGTTGCATATTAACCAAACGCTTTCTATGCCGGGGCACTCAGTCCTCATTCTGTAACCTACTTAAGCAGTGTTTGACAAGCTGTGTTTTGAAGCAGTTACTACTGACAAACAGGGCTATGACAACAGTAAGAAATGCACTTGGCATAACTTCGACCAGTTTGTGTTTATGTCAGGGAGATGACAACCATGAAGCCAGACTTTGGGAAGTCTCAGCCTGGAAATAGGGCTGTTTGCTGTAATTCTCATGGAATTAACTTTGTTGCTGATTTCAGGCCTAACCAAGGTATCAAGGGCTGGTTAAATGCTTCTTCCCTTACTCCAGGCTGTTTGCAGACCTAAAAGGCCTCACTCACTTAGGCAGCAGCTGTTTAATTAAGCACAGGAGTAACATGGTTTAAAGAAATGGCCCCAGCCTATGCGAGTCCGGTGCCATCATGTTACCAGTGGCTCTGTACAAGAAGGAAGCGCGTCTGAGGTCATGTGAGAGCAGAACACATGCTCACGCTGCAAGGAGAAGTTTAAACACAAGGGATACACAACTTTACCCAAACCCACGCAGCGTTTCTGCCCGAGCCCTGCACCTCCCAGGCACAAACTATTTCGTTTCCAACGAGGCATCTCCGGGCTCTCATTCTTGAACCCAGGGGCCCCGTGCCGCGCAAGTTAAGCTGAGTAACGGAGCCCTTTAGAAACCGCTACACCGGCGACCCCCCGAACACCAAGCAGCTGATCAGTCACTGAAGTAACTTAAGATACATGCAGACACGGCACCTTTCAAAACAGGCTGTAATGATCTCAACCTGAATCACTCCCACTGTCTGGCACAGCAAAAGAAACCGGGGTTATCTCAACGGCGGTGGCTGACAGTTACATGTTATGATTTTCTACCTCTAAACTGAACAACTCTGTTCGGCTATTGAAGAGCTGGGAAGTGCCAGCAAGGCGAGCGGCAGCACTCGGGGCTCTACCCGGCCTGACGCGTTGGAACAGCGAGTTCCCTCCTCCGAACGCCGGCACCGAGGCCGGGGGTGATGCCGGTCCCGGGCCGGTTGCGTCGCCTCCCCTAGCGCCAGCCGCTGCCCCCGGCCGCAGCCCCCCCCCGGAGCCGGGCACCCACCGCTAACAATAAGGCGGGTGCCCGCCCTCGGAACACGGCGCTGGATCGATGGGTTTGTTCTAAACCCGGTTTGCATAAAACGCCAACCCCAGCCCCCAAGCCCGCACCTCCGCCTCTGAATCACCCAGCCCGGACCGCAGCCCTGCCAGTAACTTCAGCGGGGGATGGCGGCGGGGCCGGGGGTCCGCGGCAGCGCTCGGCACTCACCTGTCCGGCGGTGTCGTACAGCCCCAGCAGGTACTGCTTGCCCCCGACGGTAACGCTGACTGCGAGGGGGGAGAAACACAGCGGGTGAGGGGGGCAAACCCCGGCCGAGTCCCACCGCCGCAGCGTCGCCTCCCGGCAGGGTAAGGCCGGAGACGGAGGAAGGGAGAGAGGGCGGCAGAGCCGCCGGGTCCCCCCCCCCCCCCCCCCGCCGCTCACCTGCGTAGTGGTCGAAGACGGTGGGCACGTACTCCTCGGGGAAGGCGTCGTTGGCGTAGCTCATCAGCAGGCACGTCTTGCCCACGGCGCCGTCCCCCACCACCACGCACTTGAGCATGACCGCCGCGCTGCCATGGGCCATGGCCGGACACCGCCCTCATGGCCCCGCGGGCGCGCCCCGCCGCGCAGGGCCCCCCGGCATCGGCGCCGCCGCCGCCGCTCAGCGGGCGCCCCCGCCGGCCCCCGCCGGGCGCGGCCCCCCCGCCATCCGCCGCCGCGCTGGGCCCGGCGGGAGCCGCCTTCCCCCCGGCCGCGCAGGGAGAGCGGGGCCGGCCGGAGGCGGGGAGCGGCCCCGCGCTCTGTGCGCGCTGGCGGCGGGGCCGCGCTGCGCGCTGAGCCCGCTGCCCGCAGACGCACGGAGCAGGAGCGCTCCGCGGGTGCCCTGCGCGCAGCTCCTGCCCCGCCGAGGCAGCGGGAGGAGGGTTGATTCCGGGCTCGTTACCCTCCCGTCCCGTCCCGTCCTGTCCGCCCACCGTCGCCCTGTACGTACAAAGGAAACTTCGGTCGCATCCTCCGGCGGTACCCCCGCGGTGTGTCCGTGAGTATGGAAACAGCCAGCGCGGAGATGAAGGATGTTTCATTTTCTGAGCTCAGCTTATCGTATCTGGGTCTGAAATTCAGGAGGGGGCGTATGTTTAAGTGGTTTAAAGAGTCTTCGGCACTCATTTGAAAGGCAAAAGGACCAGAGGACGAGATCTAAAGCGTGAGTACTGCCTGAAAACGGGGTGACATCGTGCTCCCACTAATGTCAGTGGCAAACCCCCCACCATTCCGTGCAGGGGTTTCCAGCTTCACATTGTCAAATGGTGTGGAGTCTGTCAGACAGAACACAGTTGCCTTTCCTAGCCTGTATTTTTTGTGTGTTTAGGCTACAGATCACGACAAAAGGCAGCACGCAGCAGCGTGAGCCACGAGGAGACCTCTTTGTTGTGTGGTTTGTGTTTCTGTTCGACCTGACATGATTGAGGGGGAAAGTAAATGCAGACCCTACACTGCACAAACCTTACCCGAATATCCCATAAAACACGTTTTCAAATCAGGACAGAATAGAAAATTTATTACTTTGCCTGTTTTTCAGCTTTAGACAACCAAACTTTCATGCCTTCAGACCACAGAGGGGGAAAGCGGGACATCCAAGGCTGTTCTGTGATTTCCTACTGATTCATCCCGAGAGCATCCACCCCGACTCATGAGCAGACAGAGGCTGCCCCAGGAGATATTTCCTCAGCCCTTTGGAAGGCACCAGCTCTAGAAGAAAGCTGATTTACCAAGAAATCTTCTGGCAGCCAGCACAGGGCTTGGTGCACAGGTCTCCCAGAGAGCAACTTCTCCTCATGAGCAGGTCTGTGCTGCATGAGCAGCTATTTCAGGGAGGGGAGTTTGGGACTAGATACAGGAGAACTGCTTTACAGCAACCTTACTGATGCTACCTGAGGTTAGAAGTTCCCAGGTACCCTGTGGGAGTTGAAAGCATGCATATGTTCACTGGCCCAGGTTATCCACTCACCTTTCGTAGAATCCCAGACTGGTTTGGGTTGGAAGGGACCTTCAAGCTCATCCAGTTCCAACCCCCTAGCATGGGCAGGGGCACCTTGCACTAGAGCAGGTTGCTCCAAGCCCTGTCCAACCTGGCTTTGAGCACTGCCAGGGACGGGGCAGCCACAGATTTTTTTGGCAACCCACCAATTACACATTGAGGAGCACCCAACACCTGCATCCCTGGAGAGCAGCGTCCCAGGCCATCGCCTGCGCAGTCAATGGGGAGTACTTCCTCCGGTCTGCTGCTTGCTTAATTGCTAGCGTTGCTTCTCCAATCCTGTAATCATCATTTTGAACTTGCACAATCTCAGCCAAATGCTTCTCATCCAGTTTCTCTCAGACAATAGATGGCCAATTAGTCTGCAGTAAGTATTTAGACTGAATGAAGATGGGGAACTGGTAAACTGAAACAGTCGCCTGGCTGATTGCACAGCCACAGGGAATCACGTAGCTGCGGGACCTCGTAGAACCTCACAAAAGCCCCACAGCTCCATGGAATCACCCACCGGGGCTCAGCACTCTTAAGCCACAGTGTATTTCTTACTGCCTGTTTTCACCCTTTGCAGATGTTGTTTTCCAGCAGGCACCCCCAGCAGTGTGATAAGGAGTGGTGTAAGGAGTGAAACGGTCACTGGGTGGTCCTGGAAACTGATTTCTTCTCTTGAACTCTTCTGCATTTCAGCAGCTCCCTACGAATGTGTTAGAGCCTCTGCTGGCATCAACTGACATGGCTCAGCGGAGGAAATCAACTCAGCTGTATCTTTGGTACAATGAATACCTTACCAGGAATCACATCTATCTTTCAGGTAGATGAGCAAGCTGTTCTGTGTAATACACTTCCATTTGTCGGCAGGGCAAATGTAAAGTGTTAAAATAATTACCTACCTATGACAAATATAATTGTAACTATCTTTATTAAAGACACTAAATTGAACCATTTTTCTCTAACTTCTTCTATAGGGTAGTAAAATAAACCAGTGTGAAATGTTAAAAGGAAACTTTTCAGCTTAGTGATGTTTAAAATGTATTTTTAGTTCCCATTGCTTACTATAAAGTTGTCACTAAATGAAAACCAGCTTAATCTAATTTACACACAAAATTAATTCCTAAGAGCAGTTTGTGACTATTTCTAGCTTATGCACTGAACAGTGACTTTAGTATCACATATGAGTGCTAAACAGTCCTTTTTTCTTAGGAAGTTCTTCCCTGTGAGGGTGCTGAGACGCTGGAAGAGGTTGCGGACCGGGCTTGGAGCAACCTGCTCTAGTGGAAGATGTCCCTACCCATGGCAGGGGGTTGGAACTGGATGATATTTAAGGCCCCTTCCAAACCAAGCCGTTCAATGGTTCTCTGATAGGAGGCTCAGCACTCACAGTAATGCAGCTGGACTGCCCTTAGAAATAAGCTCTGTTCCAGATAATTGAGGTCAGTAATGGAGCAAAGCATGTCTAATGAATGGTGGGCACAAGTAGGACACAAATGTAGTGAAACCCCGCAGATGACCATGCAGCTAGACAACAGAAGATAAACATTTCTGGGAAGCAGTTTCTGGGGTAGACAGGCTTCTGAAAGTGAGAGCAGGACCATGAAGTAGAATCCCAAAGTCCTTTATCCGAGTTACCAGCCATGGGAAAATAGAAGGGAAAATGATGGAGCCAGGCTTCAGTAAGCACCAAAAGACCTGTTTGGTCTACGGAACAAGGGAATAAGTGTTGTTAATCATCTAAATTCAGCACATTTGAAGAAGATAAATCTGTCCATGTCAGTTACTAACATGTCTCTGAGGTTAAGTTTACACAATGTGGTTATTTTCATCAGGTGTGCTGCTCTGTGTTGTGACTACACTCCGGTGTTTCATTCTCCAAATCCTCTTGATCACCCTACCAAATAAGCTGGTCACTTTGTCACCGGACTGATGTGCACTGCTAGAGAGTGGCCATGCATCTAACTACAGTGGTGGACATCTTCCCATGTTGGGTGAAATAGCTTCATGGCAATAGCCAATATTTGAAGAAACAGCCCTAAAAATGCCATGTCCCAGGCAAAGGTCAAAGTGATGAGTGAAAAACACTCAAATTAGTCCCACAAAGTCCATCAGAGGATTCCTTTTTTAGGCATCCGTGTTTGTGGAAGATTGGAGCCATGGCTTATGATTCTCTGAAACAACTTTTAGACTTGGGAGGCATACTGAGTCTTTAGGAAAGTCAATGAGAAGGGCAATGTCATCTGAATGCCCTGTTTGCAGCATATTGTCTTTCAGACCAATCAATCTCTTGCGAGTACAAGAGCAGAGCTGTCCCCAAGCAGCAGAAGGTAGCACTCGAATGGGCACAATGGAAGCCTGCTTTCAGTCAGAATGATTTACTGTTGTCACAAATGGTGAGAACACCATTTTTACAACCAAGGAATCTGATGGTTACAGTTTTGCTTCTCTGCCCGAGATTATGTAAGGCAGAGAATGTTTCTGTATCCCAGCTAACGTAAAGGAAACAAATCACACATTTCTAATGTGCCAGAAATGGATAGGCAGTTCAATAGCTGCGGATCCAATTCCTTCTGATTGTCAGTTTCTACTCTATCCCCAGATTTTGTTTAATCATTTAAAAGAGCACTGGTACCAATTTCCTCCCCGTTTAAAGGGTTCTGGCTGCTTGCTTACTTCCCCCATAATGTGTTTCAAGAGCACAGTGGTGTCTCCAAGCAAAGGCAAACAGTATATGAAATCAGAATAAACCAGGATGACCCATTTTAGGTCATCTGCTGTAGTCTTCTGATTGCGAGAGCAATTACTGTACCTGTAGTGGTTCTTTTCTTGGAATGGGGCTGAAAGTCGTGAGCAGGTGAAGCATCACTTGTTCTCTTCAGGGAGCAACCTAGTATGGTCTGCTATACACGAAGCTCCTGCACAGGTCTCTTGAACTGCCTCATCTTATTCTGTTAATGCTATTACAGCTTGTGGCCCTCTATTAACCACCCTAAACAATCTCCTTCCTTTTCACATGGATGTAACTTGAGATGGGAGTGTTTTGTTGGCCGAAGCAAAACCGTGGCCCCAGGACCATGACTGGAGCCCGTTGCTGAGAATGAGGGACACTGTTTTTAAAACAAGGTTGGCACTAGCCACTGGGAAGTGCCACAATCACTCCTCTGGGTGCTGCTTCTTAATACCTGCAGTGCAGGAGCGTTAAAGATGGTCACAGAAAACACACCAGTGGGCCCATTGGCTCTGAAAAGGCAGCTGCTTTGGGGTGATTACTTTTTGAATCCATGTGAATTCCATGAAAATATTTTCAAAAAAGCAAAAAGCCCAAAAGTTCTGGAAGCTTCCAAGCATCCAGGTTTTTTATATTTTTAGAGTAAAACATTTTTATTTCTAAATCTCTCTGGTTTTGATTTAAGTTCGCCTAATGTTAGAGTACAGCGTTACATAAACTAAAAGATGGTAGCCTCAAACATTTCAGTTCACTTCGTTTTTCTGTTAGAATTGTTTTGTCCAGTTGATTTTTTTTAAGGAATTTCAAAGTGTTCAGGTTGCATTCCTGATCAGAAATCCCTAAAACGATCGTGAAAGTGAAGTGTTATCCTCTGCACAGCTGATGCACTCCCTCATGCTCATGGCATGCTCAAGTGCATTCAGAGAGCATGTTCCCTTCTTACTCAGAGTACCTTTTTTAACTTGAAATCTCTTTGACAGTGTTTTCATTAAGGAAGTGCCCAGTTTCCAACATCATGGCCCAAGTATAACCAAGTGCTCAACAGGGAGCTGTGATTCATTTAGAATACATCAGATTTTGCAACGATGCTATATTGCCACACTATCATTAATAATTATTCTAGTGTATCACAATGGAGTCTCATGTCCTTAACTGTTTGAATTGAATAGGAACTGCTCAATTACAGAGTGCGAAACAGTTTCTCTCCTGTGAATGACTACAAAGGAGAGCAAATGAGTGAAGTCAGGGTTAAAAGTGACAGGATCAGGCTGATACAAGCCATGGGTACATGCTGTGCTTTGCAGGTTTCTCTGCCCTAAGGAATAGCTGTGAGTTTGATTGGTTTTCCCAAAATCCATCTCTTAAGATCTTACCTAATCTTTCTCTTGATTTCTCCAGTTTATCTATCTCATGCTGACACCTGTAATACCTCTCAAACTAGTATTTGCTGATGAATTCGTGAGCATGCTATTTAGCAGCTCCTCTTCGGAAAGTAAGGAAGAAATCAAATATAACACTATTGCACTACAGCTGGAAAAGAAGATTCCTTAGGGAGACAGGAAGGAAAAAAGAAAGGGAAAGCCAAAGCAGGGAGAAGGACGCTGCACGAAATAGAAGGAGACAGAAGAGTGAGAAAACTGCCTTTGATGAAGGCTGGATTTGGGTTTGAATTTTCATGTAGTCTGGACTTCTTTCATCAGCTTCTTTGAAGCTGATTCTTGATCTCCTTGATGGAGAGAAGGAAACCCCTAAACTTCATTCATTTGTAAAGCCAAATGCTGAAACAAACTTCTTTCTTGATTTGAGGACATTCCACTCAGGGAAATAGAGCCATTTTTAAACCCATGTCAGTAATCAGCTTCCTAGTGAAGTAAAGTCTAGTGTTATGGGAGGGAAAGAATGGTGATGGATGGGATACTGGGAAACGCAGGTGGATAGCAGAGAACAGAAGTGAATGTGGGGAGCCCTGCAGCACACACACACACACACACCACTCACTCACACTGTAGGACCTGAACCCACCCTGCACTAGGAAGAAAAGGGTAAGTCCTTCTTTGGCTGTCCTCTTCAGTACATTGTCTGTAAATCCGGGATGTGGGGAATGCTGGAAGGGATTCAAAACCAGACCTGAGGACAGAAATCCAGACCTGGGGAATCTAGCATCTGCAGGGGAGGATGGGCTGTAAGCAGCTTGCTGTGAAGCATGAGAAACTCCTTAAGTGCTAATAGCTTCTAAAAAGCTAATGGCTTCACAGGGCTGGAAGAGAAGAGTGTGCTTGACATTTTCTCAGGCAGGGTTATGGATGTCCTGATAGGAAGTGAAGAGCAGGGAGAAGAGGACAGACCCATCATTTTGTTCTCAGGCATTTCTTGTAATTGACATAGAACCATAATTTCTGAGGATTCTCTCATCTCACTCTTGATAACTTCATCTTCCAAATGCTTCAGTGAGTGGTGACAACCCCCTTCCACAAAACAATGGAGAATGCAGGGCTTCAGAGTCACAGGGCTCCCTTCATTTCAGTAGTGCTGTTGTTGCAGTAGTAACTACAAGCACTTAAGGAACTTCTAAGATCTACAGAAAAAACATCCCTATTGAAAACATTACTTTGCTGAAAAGATTTGCTAACATATGGTTAAGATTGCTCACTTGCTTCCTGAAAGTTGAGCTCAGCATAATTCAAACCACTGAGAAACCAGGAAATACAGGGGAGAATGAAGCAATATTAACTCCAACCTTTATAGCAATGCCTCTGTATGTCTGTAATGGAAATAATTCACCTTTTCAGTGAGTGTCTTTCAGAGAACATAGTATGGAACCACTACAGCACAGGCACATATTCTCTGTGGAAAAGTGGGCTGTATTTACAGTGATGCTTCCTTTACATGCATACTCTGACCCAATTTCCTAGAAACAATTCCATAATAAGTAAACGGTATCTTTCCCACTACTCACCAATATTTAGTCATATATATATATATATATATATATATATTATTAAGACCACTGAATATTTTCCCTACTTCACTTTGCACAAGTGCCAGTGGCTAAAACATGTCTCCCAGCACTGATTCAATGCACAGAATGCAGTGATGAAAAGAGGTATGCAGCTATCTCAGGGTATATGAATACAAAAATATATATGTATCTATACTGGGGGCTGTGGGGCTGAGGTCCCACCTGAGAGGTATGGCCTCCCATCTTCCTTACGGTCATAGTTTACTGAAGTCTTGTACCATTTGACAGAACAATACTCAGAACTGCAGTTCCCTCTTCCTACTGCCAGCTCTCCCAAGGGAAAAATAAAGGTTGCCTGAATGTTGCTACTGTATTTCCTGGCTTCCAAAAGTCTGAATTTTGCTGAAGCCAGTATTTTATATGGGCTCAGCCACTGCCAGGAAATCCCAACTCTGCATTAATTAAGGGGTTTTGTCAGTCAGTAACAAGGAAAGATGCTTTAAGGACCTGAAATTCACTCTTTCCTCGATCATCAAAATATGGCTTGAGAAAGCATCTTTGCTATGTGCTGGTTCAGGATGAGTTAAAAACCCTGACGTTAGTGGAGTCCTGAAGTTTTTAGTAAGGACCAGATGCATGAGGGAATGGTAGGTGCTTTGTTTCGCTGGGGTATTGGGATGGTTTGGGTTTGAATATTTTCCTGCTGACTGGCTCGATGGGATTCACCACTGGTTTGCTGTTTTCTGTTTTCCTTTCCCAGGTTCTGTTTTTAATGGCAGTCGGGAAGCACTGAGACAAGGATGAGCAGGCTACTTAAGCAGGTATATATAAAGAAACCAGCTGTTTAAAATGTGTATATAACTGTTGGGAGCTGCAGACACTGCATCAGTTTTTCAGCAGAGCTCAGCTCCTATTGTTTGGGGGGAAAAAAAAAGGTAGTTATCCCAAAATACTCAGTGGATCTCACTGGCACATTTTACAACTGGATTTTCAGGAGTACCCGAGTGGGCTTTTTGTGTGGTACATGACTACCTTTTAAAACTCTGATCCCAGCTGCATATGCATGAAAGACAGAGTGAAGCTGAAGTTTTGACCTAGGATTACAGGCAATCTAACCCTTTAGTCCACAGTCTGCCAAAACTCAGCCATGAACTCATCACTTGCTTTTTCAATTCTACATCTCTAAAATAGGATGGAAGTGCTGTGGACGTCAGTAATGTTGACAGGATAATAGGGGTGAAGGATCAGTGTGTCAGTGGAAATAGGGGATGCACACCTCACCTCCATCACCTGTAAACCACAGCTGTCTCTTAAAGGTGGCTGCAACCTTCCTGACCTTCCAGTTCCATATCCTGAAAACCCTCCTCCTAGGATGGCTGGGAAAAGCTGTGGTAATGAGGGCAAAGAAAAGTTATTTTTAAGGTCAATTCAAGCAATAAAATTTTAAAGGATAACACAAAGAAAGGTTTTCAATTGGAAAACTGGTATCATGCCAACTCCGGAATGACAAATCACCTCCGCAGTTCACCTATTCGTGAATATGCATGGAGTGCACTGCTACCAAATTCACTGCTCCTTACACCCATTAAACCATCATGGGAAAGTGGCAGTTGATGCTGCACAATAGCAAGAGCTCAAGGAGATAAAACGGATGTAGGCTTTACCTTATAGTAATAGGCTTTGACAAGGATTCGGTGGCGGCATGAGTCAGCCCAGTCGCATCAGCTTCTGCGATGTCTGAATTTGGTCAGTGGGTAAATCCAAACAAAGCAGGCCTTGCTTTATTAATAAATTTGACATGGCCTTTGTGCTGTTGAGCAGTGCAGGAGAGGAACAAAAGGATTTCAGGCACAGACAACTCCAGCGTTCCCCTGAGCGAGATTTCTGTGGCAACCAGTGATTAAGTGTGATTGGAGCCAGGCAAAATATTTTCAGAGTGCTGTTTCTTCCCGTGTCAAAATGGGCTTGGTTTTTGAATTCACAAATCCTTAAAGGCAACTGGACTTCTTCTCACGTGTCCCAGTTTGTGCCCCTTCCCTTCCCGGGAACACGTAATACGATCATTGATTCACTGGAATGACTGCCAAAATGCTGGGAGTAATGGTCGTAAATCTTTTCAGTTTGGGGCGTGATGAGTTGTTCTAGATTTGTCTGTTGGCTTCAGACAAATCCCAGTTCCCGTGCTGGTCATCCTGCTTCACATTATCCGAAAAGCCAGTGGAAAATTCTGCTTAACGTTTTCAGACAGGGAACTGCACTCTGTGTTGTCCTCTAAGTGCAAAAGATGAAGAAGTTGCTGCTTCCTGTGTGTGGATCTCTAGTATCTTACTGACCACGAGAAACCCAAAGAGCCAGACAGGAACTCAGAACATACGCATTGGCAGAAATAACAGTGCATAGTAAAGACACCAGAGGAAAGTAATGTAGGCCACCTTCCCCTAAGATAGTAACGCTGCATAGTTAAGAACGACCTTACAGAGTACTCCAAAAGCATAGACAAC